CTGACCAATCAGAGAGAAGCACCTGACCAATCAGAGAGAAGCTCCTGACCAATCAGAGAGAAGCACCTGACCAATCAGAGAGAAGCTCCTGACCAATCAGAGAGAAGCACCTGACCAATCAGAGAAGCTCCTGACCAATCAGAGAGAAGCTACTGACCAGTCAGAGAGAAGCTCCTGACCAATCAGAGAGAAGCACCTGACCAATCAGACAGAAGCACCTGACCAATCAGAGAAGCTCCTGACCAATCAGAGAAGCTCCTGACCAATGACTCTGCTGATCAGGACAGATGTTTCCAGAAGTCTTTCATCTTCTCTCTGATTGGTTTCCAACATATTTTCAGCTGTTTTAGATCTTTACATGTATTTTCCATCTTCTTCAGTCATTTTCAATGAATCTGTGGGGATTTTCTGGTGCTGATTCAAATGTTTGTCCTGTTTTTGCAGCTTTGGGTCAGTCTTTGTTTGGCCTCTGGACTGGTGTCTGTGAAGATGCATTTCTAAAACCAACCTGGATGATCAGCTGTGATCTAAGGACCAGAAGAGATGAAACTGAAGCAGCAGCACCACGTCTGAGGGTTAACACAGACCCAGCTTTATCTGTCCTCTGCTGATCTTCAGATGTTCTCCTCTGACAGGGAGCCTTTGAAGAAAGACTCAGCAACAACATGTGCAGCTGCAGCCTCTGCTGCATGTTGATGCATCAGCTGTGTGGCAGGAAGCAGCTGTTTGAAGTGAACATCTCAGGATCACACATGTGAACAGGCTGGAAGTGTTGGAGGAGAACTCTGGTTCCCAGCAGGCGTTGCTGCAGGGCTTCTGATTCATCTCAGGTGTTCAGAGCTCAGGTATCACAGCATCACTAACCTGGAGCTGTGCAGCAGCATCACTGCAGGGCACGGCTCACCACCTCACCTGCCTCTGCTTTTACCTGAGCTCTGAGACTGAACCAAGGAATCCACCAATCAGTCCATTTAACCTGGTCAGCCAATCACAACAGCATCTGGAACAGCAGCAGCAGCAGCAGCAGCAGCAGCAACAGCAGCAGCAGCAACAGCAGCAACAACAACAACAACAGCAGCAGCAACAACAACAACAACAACAGCAGCAGCAGCAGCAACAGCAGCAGCAGCAGCAGAAGGCAGCAGCAACAGCAGCAACAACAACAACAACAGCAGCAGCAACAACAACAACAACAACAGCAGCAGCAGCAGCAACAGCAGCAGCAGCAGCAGAAGG